TCTCTCGACATATTTCATTGAATCAAATAAATTTTTAATCAAAAGTTGTTATCGTCTGTTACATTTCCCAGATAAAATAAAGAAGAGAACTACTCCTACAAGTATCTTGTAGGATTTATTTGTTCCGAATAGAAAAATAACTAATAGAAAAATAACTAGGAAATAAATAAAAGGAAAACGAATACCAATGAAATCAAATGCGGAGTCGATCATATCCGTTGAGAAAATGCGATCGCGGTCTCGTCTCCATCATTCTTTCCCGATTGAGAAAGATTTAGTCGCGAATTCTAACAAGTCTCGTCTCTATCATATATATTTATTCAATAAAAATATTTGTTTTAACAAATATTATTTAATGAATGGAATATATATCCACGTTGAGTGAATGATAAAAGGATAATACTTGGGTCCAAAATTCCAAATTATTGCCTCTAATGCATTCATTCGAGACTACAAAACAATTGTTATAATCCAAACGAAAAATCCTACAGTAATATATTTCAATGAAAATTCCAACGAATATTGTCACTTTTAATCAAAACTCGTACAAATGCCAACATAGTGGACTAAAAGTGATTAAAAGTTTTAATCACTTTTAGTCCACTATGTTGGCATTTGTACGAGTTTTGATTAAAAATGACAATATAGTGGACAATTATTGATGACACCCTATATGATGGACCTTCTTCGGAAAATGATCAACATAGTGGACTAAAAATGAAATTTAGCCTGCAATTTCTGTTGGAATTTTTATTTTCACCACCGTTGGAAAATCTACCATTGGAATCGTCAAAATCCAATGGAAAACACATTCCAACGGAATATTTTTGTTAGATTTTCCGTTGAAATTGTTCCAACGGAAATAATAATATTGAAATATTCGTTGGAATTGCCGTTAAAATTCTATTGGAATATATTTTCGTTGGAATATCATCATTTTCTTGCAGTGCGATACGTAATTTACTAATGAAGGCAGTGGAATTTAAATAACTCCATTAACACCTAATATTTGAAACAAAGGGATTTTCTTAAGCATGTTCCTATAAATTTTCTTGCACATAAGCGATATATCAATTAAATATATGCATAATTAAAAGCAATAATAAACAATGAAATAAATCCAACTATCATGACCGATAATTAATTTTTCAATCTTTATTGGAAAACTAGCAATCCTTGTCCTCGTAGAACTTACCTGGAAAGAACAGTCAAGCCATCACTACCCGGAGCTTTGTCTTTCCCCAAACTGAACCTAGCCTCTTTGATTTCCAAATCCCCAACTTCTCTGGTGAAGATTCTATTACATTTTTCCACCGGTGGGTTAGATGTTTTGAAGAGATCTTTAAAATGAGCAGTGATTTCCTCTAATTTTTCCTGATTAGTTGAACATTCAGAACCATCAGACCTCACAAGATTCCTAAAAGCTCTGAAACTAGATTCATCTCTCAACAATCTTTCTTATTTCTTGTGAAAAATCATTGTGAGCAAATAAAGAAAACTGAACGAGAAAGCAGTAAGCTTCATCTCAAGGTTTCATTAGCCGCAGCATATACAAAATGTGTTTGTTATCCTTAAACCCTAGCAACTGAGGGATATTTAAATACAAGAGAATCCTCTAGAATATGGACATGTGTTTCAATCTTAATGAGAGAGCCAAGATAGGAAGATGCTCATCTAAGGGTGTAGAAATGTGGCCAATCCATAGCTGTCAATTGTTGCTTTAGTTGGTGAGTCATGCAACGTGACAAAAGTGCCTTCACATGCACAGCTCGTGAACTGCTTCTTCAGTGCAACAGCATTTAATTCATGCAGAATATTTTCTTGCTTCTTTGACTAATTTGACCGAGATAATGAAGAAGCCTTGGACTGATGAGGATGATTTGATGATAATTCTAACACTCCCCCGCAATCCAAACTTGGTTGAGTCATCACACACAGTTTATTTCTCAACCTAGTGAAGGTTTGTTCACATAGAGGCTTAGTAAATATATCTGCTATCTGAAACTGAGTAGGAACATGTTTGACTTCAATCTGCTTGGCTCCTACTTTCTCTCTGACAAAATGGTAATCTAACTCTACGTGCTTTGTTCTTCCCTGCATGACAGGATTTGCTGCCATTGTAATGGCACTGAGATTGTCTATCCAAATAATTTGAGTCTCTTGAGAAGTGACAGTGAGTTCTTGAAATAGACTTGACATCCACATAATTTCAGAGGTTAAATGAGCCAAACTCTTGTATTCTGCTTCAGCACTTGATCTTGAAACAGAAGCCTGTTTTCTGGAACTCTAAGAAACCAAATTGCCACCAACATAGACACAAAAACCACTTGTAGATCTTCTATCATCTAAGTCAGCAGCCCAATCAGAATCACAAAAACCAACTATGTTTAAGTCATTAGTCTTTGTGAGTTTAAGCCCAAAAGAAGAAGCTGCTGCAACATATTTCAAAATTCTTTTGATGGCCTTCCAATGAGTATCATTTGGATTTGACATATACTGACTGACTTTATTAACAGCAAAAGCAATCTCTGGATGAGTGATAGTTAGATATTGCAGTCCACCAACTATGCTTCTATACATGGTAGCATCTTGAGAGTTTTCAGACTCATTTCTTCTCAAAAGAACACTTGTTGACATAAGAGTGCTAGTTCCTTTTGCATTAAACATGGAAGCTTTAGATAAGAGATCTTGAGCATACCTTTCTTGAGATAAGAACATCTCTTTTTCTGATTTAAAAATCTTCATTCCCAGAAAGTGATGGACTTGGCCGATCCTTTAAAGAGAAGCTTTTGCTAAGCTGAGATATTAGTTCTTCCATTTCAGAATCACTGCTTCCTGTTACTAGTATGTCATCCACGTCTTGATTGTTTTCTAAAGGTAAGTTTTCTTCTTCCTTATGTAAAAAGGGAATAAATAGATCAAGATGATAATGATTGATTTTAGTGTTTTTCTGAAGAACAATGAGTTATCTGCTTGGGAACCAACAAAGCCAAGCTTGTTGAGAGTGTCCTTGACTTTGAAAAACCATTCCTTGGAGGCTTGTTTTAACCCATAAATGGCCTTGTTGAGTCTGCAAACTCCTTTGGGATTTCCTTTATGATAGAAATCTGGTGGTTGCCTCATGAATATTTCCTCAGAGAGATCTCCATTTAAAAAGGCATTATTGATGTCCAACTGCCTCACTGGCCATGAAAAATGTACTGCAATGGTTAGAATAATTCTGATGGTAGAATGTTTTACCACTGGACTAAAAGTCTCTTTGAAGTCAAATCCAGTTGCTTGTGAGTAGCCTTGAGCTACAAGTCTTGCTTTGTACCTGGATATGGAACCATCAGCATTTCTTTTCAATTTGAAAATCCACCTGCATCCCACTATGTTACTGTTTTCAGGCTGGTCAGTAAGAGTCCAAGTATTGTTGTCAACAAGAGCATGTAACTCATCTGTCATGGCCCTTTTCCAATGGGGAGATTGTAGAGCCTTTATTCAGAGATGTTGGTTCTCTTTGTTCAAGACTAACAATCAATGCTCTTGGCTTATAAATGCCTGCTTTTGCTCTAGTGATCATATAATGTTAATTAGAGGCTCTTGAAGTCCCTGAGGAGTCTGATGCATGATTTGGAGAGTTACTCAACTCAATAGGCAAATGAACAGCTAAGGGAATGGTGCTATGGCTGGATTGACTGTTTATGGATCTGGGACTTTGAAGAGTAGTATTAGGAGAATAATTAGGTGTGGGTTGAGTGGTTGGTTGGTTGTTGGGGGCTGTAGAGGTTTGTTTTTGAATGATAGGAGGAAAAGTGGCACTGTGTGGTTCAATGTCACTGAGATTATTGGATCTTTCACCTGCTGCCTTAGCATAAGGATATTCATTCTCATTGAAAAGAACATGCCTGGAAATTATAAGCTTTCCTGATGGTAATAGAATTTTGTATCCCTTGTGAGAGTTACTAAATCCTATGAAGGTTCCACCAATGGATCTTGGTTCAAGTTTATGTTTGTTAAATGGTCTAAGTAAAGGGTAAGCTAGGCAGCCAAAAGTTTTGAATCTACTGTAATCAGGTTCATGTTTGTAAGAAACTTCCAACGGGCTCTTATATTTCAAGGATTTAGTAGGGAGTCTGTTTATGATGTAGCAAGAAGTGGAGAAAGCATCATCCCAAAACTTTAAGGGCATGGAAGATTGGGAAAGAAGGGATAATGCCGTTTCAGTTAGGTGTCTATGCTTTCTTTCTGCTGTTCCATTTTGTTGAGGTGTATGAGGACAATAAACTCTATGAGTGATATCATTGTTTTGAAGAAAAGATGTGAGGGATCTGAATTCTCCCCCCCAATCACTCTGAAGAGTTTTAATTTTGTGGCCAAATTGATTCTCAGACATGGTTTTAAAGTGAATAAAGACATCATGGAATTCTGATTTCAGTT